AATCAAAACCACAGAGCTGTCACCTCACACCTGTTTGAATGGCTGCTCCTAAAATAACAAAAGACACCAAGGTTGGCCAGGGTGCAGACAAAAGGGGAGCCTTGTGCAGGCTGGGTGGGATGGAAATTCATGCAGCCATATGGAAAACAGGAGGGAAGTTCCTCAGACATTGAACCAGAACCCCTGCTGGGTGCAGATCCAAAGGAACTGAAACTGGCAGGTTGGAGGGACACCTGCTCTCTAGGGGGCACCCAGCAGACTGCAGAGGGACAGATAAGGAAAGCAGGCACAGCACACGAGGTGCCATCCTTCCAGACGTGGATGGACCTGAGGACACCACGCTAAGGGAATAAGCAGGCACAGAAGGACAATGCCGTGTGGTCCCACCTACGTGCGGAACCTGAAGCCAGTGCTTTCAGAAGCACAGGTGGTGCTTACAGGGCCTGGGGAGGGCAGGTGAGGGTCAGAGGGACGGGGCTTGGGCTGTGCAGACCGCGGGGGCTGCAGGCAGCACTTCCTCTTGGCTAGGAGGGCCTTGCACGGTGTCCTCCCACACTCACAAATCACCATGGTGGCAGTGGCAGGGCTAGGAGGAAGCTGAGAGGAAGGGTTTGCCCCGGGAGTCAAGGAGGTGGGGCTGCACGGGAACATACTCATCCCAGCTCATCAAGTTGTACACTCTAGCTGGGCTGGGTGTGGCTCAGTGCACAGCACTTGCCTATCCTGTGTGAGGCACTGGATCCATTCTCAGCATCGCATATAAATAAATGAATAGAATAAAGGTCCATCAACATCTAAAAAAATATTTAAAAAGTTGTACACATTAAACACATGGAGCTTTTCTTATGTCAATGGTTTAATAAAATAGATTACAGCCAGGCACAGTAGAGTACATCTGTAATCCCAGTGGCTCAGGAGGCCGAGCCTCAAGAACTTAGGCCCAATGCAACTCAGTGAGGCCCTGTCTTTAAATAAAATTAAAAAGGGCGAGGCTGGGGATGTGACTCAGTGGCCAACGCCCCTGGGTTCAATTTCCAGTACCCAAAAAACTAATTAATATAAAACAGACCACAGTCCTAGCTCACAACCAACCGAGGACGGCAGGGAGGGACGCCTTTGGCGGTAGAATGCCAACAAGCTCTAAAGGAGTGGATGCCCTCTTCCAGCCCACACAGGTCGGCAAGAGCCCAGGGGGAATGATGAGGGGCAGCCAGTGAGGAACAGGCTCAGCCTGGGTCTTGCGGATGGCAAAGGCACCCTCCGGCCCGGGATTCCCAAGCCAGGTCATAATAGCCCTGGGCTGGGACTCCCTGTTCTGCAGGCTGCCTGGAGCCATGTTGAGATCCTCACACAGAACCCTGAGGGCCCCATGGCACCTACCGGCTGGTAGTGTTCTTGCCGAGTTGCCAGCAGGGGTCAGCTGGGAAATGGCTCCTCCAGCCCCCACCTAGCTTCAGAGGGCAGCAGGCCTGAGTGACCTAACACATCCTTGAGACCCTGACTCAGAACCAGAGATGCCTGCCAAGCGACCCAGCAGACAGGTGCCTGATGTGGGACAAGGTCAGGGTGCTCCCTGGCCTGGTTACCAGTTCCAAGGGGACAGGTAGTAAGCATTCGGTGGAGAGCCCTGGAAGACAGTCCCCTGGAAGATAGATTTTATGTACATACTTTAACACATTAAAGCTTGTTTCTAGTACCCCTAAGGATGAAATCCCCAAAACATAGCTTCCTTTTAATTCCATACACTTTAACAGTTGACCAAGGCAGATGTAACAGGTGGGGTAAACTGAGACGCACTGAGGTGCAGCAGGAAGGGCGTTCAGCCCACCAGGAAAGGCAGGAAAGCCCAGGGAGGTACTTGGCCTTCTATCCACAGCACTGATTTGGTGACTATTCTGGCTACAGAAGCGAAAGCTCTTGTTCTTAGGAAATACACACAGAAGCACTTGGGGTGAAAGGATGTGATAACAGAACTCCCAAGTGATTTAGGAAAAAAAACCAACCAAAAGACAACACATTACCCCTGAACCTACTCACCTTCCTCCCGAGAGGATGAGGGACGTGTCCTGGGACCTACTGACCAGGTGTGTACTGGCATCTTCTGTTTCGTCGAGTCTAAACCCTCCTCTGGCCCCTTCAAGAGCCCCGCCCTGCCACAGGACCCCACAGCACCCCACCCGCGGCGTAGCCCTCCACACTGAGGCCAGCGACTGGCCTCCCCTCCTGCCAACTTGGGAGTGGAAGGAGTCGAAGCCAGCTGACCGGGCTGAAGGACACCCAGCCTTAAGGTAGGTAGCCATCTGCAGCTCAGCCGGGCCCACCCCACTTCACAAAGGGAAGAAGCCATCTGAATTGGTTTGCTGAATTACTTTTGTGAAAGAACATTAGAGTATTTTACATCTGTTTAGAATGAGTTCTAAATAACAAATGCTTTAAAAATAAAAACTATTTTAAATTTAGAGCAAGGTTACAACTACATAGACTTCACCCCACCCTCCAGCAGTTACTATTTTTCTCATTTGCTTTCTCTGAGGATGGGATGAAGAATGAATTTTTCCTCAACCACACAGCTAGGCAGACTTTTTTTTTTTTAAAAAAATATTTTATTTTAAAATTGTAAGTGGATACAATCTTTATTTTTATGTGGTGCTGAGGATTGAACCAGTTCCTCACAACATGGTAGGCAAGCCCTCTACCTCTGACTTCTTAAAATGGAAAGATACAGACCTTAGTATACCAGCAAAGCTCTTCTCTCAAAATAAACATCTATATACACTCTGTAGAGGAGAAAAAATAGATTTTATGTACATACTTTAACACATTAAAGCTTGTTTCTAGTACCCCTAAGGATGAAATCCCTAAAACATAGCTTCCTTTTAATTCCATACACTTTAACAGTTGTCCACCTGCATTGCAAGAAATCCACAAATACATAGCTACACCAAGCACCGACTGTTCGGGTGCCTTGAAGTACTTTTCCAGTGTAGCTGTCACTGTAATACATTTTCAAACCTACATATTTGAAAGTAATTCTGAATTTATAGTAGCTTTTGGTCAGGGTGTATTTACTATTTACACTGAAGTACAATTACTGTCACGTGTAACCATATTATGTTGTTAGAAAGTACACATATTGTGGGCAATCTCCCATATAATGCAAAACTCAGGCAGGGAGAAAAGTCACCAAGAGTCCACGACACAGGAAGAGGCAGTTTTGCTTTGATAATAAAAGACAATATAGAAGCGCGATTGTTGACAGAAGTTTGTCTTCCTTACTGCCAGAAGCTCTCTGGTCCCTCTGACCGCTCTAGGAGTAGCCCTGGTCAGCGCAGCTCCACTCCTGACCCCAGGGCCGGCCCCAGTGGCACGGGTGGCACACCCTGACCCGCCTAAGCCAAGACAAGGACTTTTCGGTTCAAAGCCCTGCACAAAGTGAAGGCTTCACTAACATGTCAACAGCTGCGGCCCTCTTCCTTTGTCACCTAAATTTGCGACCTGGTAGAAGGCACAGGGTTTTAATTAGGCCCCTGGCCAAAGGCTGGTTTCTGGATTGGGGCGGAGGCAGTGGAAGGACAGGAGGCCTGCGCAGTGTGAGCTCCGACCCCAGCACTGAGGTTCTCCAGGCTGCCCACTCACTGCCGAGCCTACACCTTCAGGGCAGGGACATACATGGAGACTTGAGACCTCACATGGTGACCCTGAACTGCGACAGGGCCACCCACACCAGACAAGAGTGCTCTGCACAGGAGCCCGTGACCACCTGCCCAGATGACGGCACTCTTGCTGGGAAACAGGTTCTGACCCACGACGTCTACACTCACCCCAGTGGCTTTTTCAACAGCTGAAGATGAGGCCGACCAAGCCTGCAGCATTTGAAAGGAGCAACTGTGAAACAATCCACACCTGTGCACCCTGGTGGCTGCTAGGCAGAGGACACTTCTCTTTCCCCAGATTCCCAAAGTTTCCTGCACTTGGTGAAGGGGACTGGACATGCCCTGCCAACTCCCTGCACTTGGTGAGGGGGACTGGACACGCCCTGTCAACTCCCTGCATGCAGTAACTGTTTAATTCGTATCCACATCTCCTAGGACCCAGGAGCAACAGCAAGCAGCACCCACCAAGTATCCAACAGCTACTTGGTGACTTTGGAGTTATTTAACAAAATACCGCAGGGATGCAGAACTGAAGAGTGGAGAGACATAAAACTGTGCAGAGTGTCCTCTCCAGTGTCAACACGTCAGGTGAGCAGCAGTGGAAACCCACCCACACCTCACCACACAAGGACACTCACGGTCTGGACATCAACCAACTTTTCAAAACCCAACTGCATTGGAGATCCTGAGGACACATCAGAATAATCAACTAGACCTCAATGAACTTTTAGCCAATTAAAAAAAAAAAAAAAAAAAGAAATGCATCATTTATAATCAACTGCACCCTCTAGTGGCCTATTTTTATCTATTAAAAATTAAGACAACCTGTAATCCCAGCAACGTGGGAGGCTGAGCAGAAGGATCACAAGTTCAAGGCTAACCTCAGCAACATGTAAGACCTGTCTCAAAAAAATAAAAAGGGCTACAGATATGGCTGAACCCAGGTGGAGTGCCCCTGGGTTCAATCACCAGGATTAAAAAAACAAAACCAAAACACCACACCAGTCTCACTGTGCAGGGTGCACAGTTCAGAGCTTGCCCTTCCCTGCCTTTTCCTGCCACCCCCAATGCATCATCTGAAAGTTACTAAAAACACAAACAGGGCTGGGTTGTGCTCAGCGGTAGAGCGCTTGCCTAGCACATGTGAGGCCCTGGGTTCGACCCTCAGCACCACTTTAAAAAAATAATAAAATTATAAAAAACACCAACACGATACAATCTTGGATTAAAAAAATCATCTCAATAAATAACATTTACAATGTGACAGACTGTGACATTAGCCCTCCCCCTCTTCACTGAGCAGGACAGGCTTTGGAGATCCTGAGGACACCTGTGGGTCAGACATGCCTACATTCTCAGGGCAGCTTTGCCCTGCAAGGACCGCGTGGCAAGGCCTGCCCTCTCTCTCAGCACGCTGGCTTCCTCGGGACTCTGGTGGGCCTGCACGTTCTTCAGTAAGAAGTGGCCAATGAAGAGCTTCAGACCCTCTCGCAACATCCCCAGCTTTGGGTTCTCAGACACTCTGGAAGAGAATCAGACAGACGCGGGTCAGGATAGATCTCAACACACTTGTAACCTAGTTCTGTTCCCTGTGGTGCTGGGAAGGAACCAGGGCCTCTTACACGCACAAAACCATCTCCCACTGAGCTAAACCCCCAGGGTTTTTGAGGCAGGGTCTTCTACGTTGCTCAGGCTGGCCTCAAAACTCCTAGGCCCCAGGGATCGTCCTGCCTCCCAAGAAGCTGAACCCACAGATGTACATCGCTGTGACTGACACTATGTAAAGCAGAATTTTCAAAGAAGAACTTCAGGGCAGGAGGTGGCTCAGTGTTAGAACTGCATGCCCAGCACTGAGAAAACAACAAGCACTCTTAGATATCAGCTTAACATTAAGACTGACATGACTTATACAGCTACACGTGAAGCACAATGCTGCTTCTGTAAACCAACCGGAATGAAAACATCTTTCTGTCCCTTTCTCATGTTTAATGAAACACCTGGGCACATACCTTGCAAAAATTAAACCCAGGTCTTCAACTTCTGTTTCCATTAACAGCATAGTCAACACTCTCCGTAGGAAGTGGACTCTGGGTTTGTCCAATTCACTGAACTCAACCACCTACAGTCAGGAGACAGAAAAAAGTGACACTAGCTTAGCCAAGTCTCCAGTGATCTGTAAACAGTGCTAATGAGTAGGCATTTGACCCTTCCTCACTGCCCACACACCCTGGTTTAAGAAGGTCTTCTAACTGCTAAAAATGAACAGCTGCTAGTAAGGAAGTGGAGCCATGGGGACCCTGCAGAGCTGGCTGGTCAACCTGGCAGCACAACACAGCTTAGGGGGCCTATACTTCACAAGCCAGGAATGTAGTTTCTAGAACAGAAGCCTACTCTTGAGTGTGTTCCACCAGGTACAAGAGGCTGGACACTGCGGCTTCTGCTTTGTGGCTGTCTGTGTGGCATTCTGGTAGAGTCTGGACCACCCCTATCAACACCTCTCTGTGGAGAGCTTAGATCTAGGAAAGATGAACTCAGATATGCTTCCATCTAGGAAAACTATCAAAAACCCCAGAAACAATTTTAAATTTCAGCAGTGTAACAAATAAACATACTAGACTTATACAGTGGAAGTAAGATCACACAGAAGATCAGAGAAGAGAATTACAGATATTAACATATATAAATTGCAAACTTAATTTTAAAAAAGAACTGTGGAAAGTCACAAGAGCAAGATGACCACACGGTTCTGCCCAGAGGGTAGATGATGTACTGGCTGTAGATGCACAGCACAGGGAGTACAAAACCACGCCAGGGAGAGATTCTGATCAAAGAGGGCCCTCAGCCAGGTGCAGTGGCACATGCCTGTAATCCTAGTGATATCAGAGGCCGAAGCAGGAGGATTGTAAGTCTGAGGCCAGCTTCCACAACTTAGCCAGACCCTGTCCCAAATAAAAAATAAAAAGAGCTAGGGAGTAGTTCAGCGGTTCATGCTTTACAAGTACAAAAAATAAGCAACTACACAGTGATTTTTAATTGCTTACAAACCTTCAAAATGGAAAGCGGAAGCGATTTTGTCTTCAACAAGTGTGCCACCAGATGAACCAAATTCAAGAAATTAGTGGCTGGCAAATTTTCTAAGTTCCGAAATTTATCCCATATGCTGAACTGGAAAGTCATCTAGTAACAATTAATAAAAAGAAAAAAATTAAAATTCAACAATCAGTAGACTAAACCACTAGGATGCTCTCATTCACTTATTTTTAATGTTCTGAAACTCAGGACTCTCAGGAGCAACTATACTGTCCTTTCAAATGGTCAGGAGCTCGAAACAGCTTTACAGTCATCTTTTGGTTGCGGTTCTCCCCTGCATTTATGAGGCACTGGGTTGGATCCCCAGCACCAGCAAACCCTACCCCACCCCACCCCAGCAGATAAGCACTTTGAAGAAAGCTCTTGACAAGTGACGTCAAGAGACTGGTGTGGTGTAAGCAACACCCAGCCTCCTAGTGCAGGTGATCCCTCTACCCAGTACTTCTGGCTCCAAGAACTCATATTTAGGATGCGAGCCAGACAGAATGCTGAGGAAAAGCATCAGGACACAGGTAACTGGCACCTTCTGACCAAGTTACCTGGAATCGCCTTTCATAGCTGCAGAACTTGCTGGCCAAGAACGCATAGAAGGGATTGTATGTCTTCTCCTGCAAGCAGCAGTCCATGAGCACGTGGACCACCTCTCTCTCCTGCTGATCCTTCAGTCCCAGCCTGCAGCACAGAAACAGCCCAGCTAAGTCAGCACTCCACTTCCCTCTTCCACAGCCAAAGAGCACACAGGTCCTTCCTGCCTGGAAGAGTGTGGTTAAAAGTGAGCCAGGAGGCGGGTGGCAGCAACCAGACACAAGGCAGAGGTTTGGCCCTCCCCAGTTTCTTTGGGCCTCATTTTTCTAGTGATGTGGCAAAGTTTGGGAGGACACAACAGGACTCGAGTTCTACCCCACCACAAAGCCCAGGACCCAAGTCCAACTGACACAGGCAGGACTCAAATGAAGCCAGGTCTTGCTAAGACAATGATTTCCCTCCCTCCCCCTCCCCCTCTCCTTCCTTCCTTCTTTTCTTTCTTTCTTTTTGTAGCAGGGATTGAACTCAGGGGCACTCAATCACTGAGCCATACCCCCAGCTTATTTACAGACAGGATCTGTGTTGCTTGCTTTCAACTCGTGATCCTCCTGTCTCTGGCTCCGGAGTCACTGGGATTACAGGCGTGTGCCACTGTGCCTGGCTCACTTTTTCATTTTTAAAATTCACAGTAAACTCCACCCTCTTCAGTGTACAGTCCTGTGGGTGCAGCTGTATAAGCCCCCAGAGTCAGGTAACTGCAACCACACTGGAAAAAGAATTCCATCGCCCCCACAACCCCCACACGCCTGTGCAGACAGCCATTCCCCAAGCTGCGGGCTACCACCAATCTTTTTTCCAGTCCTCTAGTTCTGACTCTGCCAGAATGCCACACAAACAGCCACAAAGCAGGCGGGTGTCCAGCCTCTTGAACCTGGCAGAACACACTTAAGAGTCACCCATGCAGCTGTGGGACTGGTACTTCGCCCTCTGTAATAGTGAACTGTAAGGATCCCACCCACTGCAGCAAGGACCCCTGGTTTGTTCACCCTTTTCCTAGAGGGGCATGTGGGTTTTTTGGTAGTGGGGATGGAACCTAGGCTTCATGCACACTAGGCTACTGAGCCTCAACCCCAGGTCAGCCAATGACTGTGATGAATAAAAATGGGGAAAAAACTCATTGTTAGAAGAAGACTGACTAGGAAACACAGAGGTATGCTCAGGGTTCCCACCCCGACAAGCCACCCCAGTTTACAAACCCCCAACTATCAGAATACTAAAATGAGCCATTTCTCCCTGTATTGCATTATGAGTTTGAAGCAAATAAAGAAAAATGAGTTAAACTGTTCACTTAATTGTTATCTGATAACTAAGTACTTTGCATAAAGTATGCAAATGTTTTAAAAACCTGCTACAACAAATTATCACAGAACCATACTGGGACATTTTAAATGAGAAGCAAGAGGCAGCTTCAACATGAAGGCTCATACACTTTAAGCAATCCATGACAACCAACAGCTGCCAAAGACAGTGGCTGGCTACCAGATACTGGCTACAAAGCCCTCAAACTGCAGCCTCCTACAGGGCTCCCCTGAGGATCTACCAGGGCACACTAGTAGGAATGAGTGGCTTGCCAGAGACATGTGGCCCACCCAGGTGAGAGGACAGTAACAAAATTCCAGTTTTTCAGTCCTCCAAATACAAAACCCACATTAAATCAATTCTTTCACAACTTCTAACTTGACAGGTCAAAACGTGCAAACAAATGCTTACTTGAGCAGCTTTTCAAAAGCATCCAAAAAATCCTCACTCGTCATCATCGTACAGAAGATGTTCCTCCTAACGTCAGTGTTCATTCTCTGCTTCCGAGCAAGATCCAACATCTTTGAGCTTATCTGAAAAAGGAAGGATTAGTGTGTGGGCCATACAAATGTCCTGAGAGCTGTTTCCTGAGAAATACCATGCCACCTTTGGTTGAGTGTGCTCCTAAAGTTTCTAAAGAACAACTTGTACAATTTTGTGGCTGCAGCTCAGTATAACTAAATTGCATGTGAATACCTGTAGGTAAATTCCAAATATTTATTTCTGGGTCACCTCAAAGGGAAAATGTGGCAGGATAAAAAGCCACTGGAGGAGAGAAGCACTGGATTTGGGAACTCTCAGGAGGGTGGGACATCAGCCTGAGCATCTCAGATCAAGTTCAGATATGGGAATCATGGTCATCAGGTGTGCCAAGGGCCCAGGGCAGGAAAGGACACTGGGG